AATATAATTTACTTTTTAATGAATTTCTGGATTTAAATTTCTATTCGATTATACCGAAACACGTATATCTTAAATGTACCTTCCTTAAATGTGTCATGCGGTCTACGTGATTATGTACACTCATTTTGGTGAGTTATATATCTATACGTTACACATGTGCAGACATCTACCGGCAAATTTGACAGTCCGTTGTCACAGTAATCACGGCTCGTTTCGAAAGTGAAGTTTGTTTACGGCGCTAAGTTTGTTTGTTTCCGAATTCTTCCTCAATATTCCGGTGAAAACGAAAGCCTAATGAAATCGTTACGGTTTAAACAATAACACGAAATTCAGTGAAATACAACAACCGAAAGTTCGTCAGAGGCTCGTCACTTCCCACTTCCCCTTCCCTTCACCATAAGATAAGTATGATTTGCACCTTTAAATATGCAGAATACTGTAATGTATGAACCAGCCGGATAGGGAACGTGGTGACAGAGAAGAGCTTAGGTTAATATGGCAAGGGAAATACAGAGGTCGGAAGACACTCTGGGTTTGAAAGGTATTTAGTTCATACAGCAATCTGGAAGGCAATCTGGAAGGCGTTGCGCGACCAAACGAATGAATGAACATTCATTCGTTTGGTCGCGCAACGCCGGTTCGAATTTTCCATGAACCGGATTCACTGACACGCTTCCGATAAAAAAAAAAAAGAAAAAAAAATCGCTGGTGACTGCAGTTAGCAGTTTGACCAGTTTTTCTTCTCCGACATAATTATCGCGTCCTAATTATATATTAATATATAAAATTGGTAATGACAATGCCAAACGATGGTAGCAATTTCAGCGTCTGTTGGCGCTCTGGCAATAGACAACAAACTCACAAGATTGAGCTTGATCTGTTCCCTAGTTTGACGTTGAATAGCGAAGAATTAAAAATATATTTCGGTTCCTTTCTGGACAACATGGAGAAATGGGTGAATAAACAGCGTTTGGACTTTTTTGCGATAAAAAGTGATAACATTGCTATGATAATCTTTATATTGGTCCCTATTTTGACGAGAAAGAGCCAGGGATGTCTTTTAAGATTATGTAAGACTGATGTGAATAAACAACTTTTGTCTACATTTTCTTCTGTCTATCTTTCGCGTATCTTCTGTCTATCTCCCGCGTATGCTTTTAGGTGCCGTCCCAACAACCATATTCTAAATATTATGTTGTAACTCCCACTCTATCTAGCCGGCAAAAGCACTGTTAATTGATATCAGGTAAGTGCCTTGCGAATGTTTGTCAGTGAAACCTACCCCGTGCCCTAATATCCGTGTTCTTTATCATCTGAAATAATATTCTTGGCTTGGGTTTTACATTTTTCTATTCTTTTACTTTTTTCAAATGTCCTTTATGAGCGATTTCGTTCATTTCTCTCCCGCAGAATCCCCGAGGCTCGTGGGTCAAGTTGGGAATGTTGCCTGTTGTAAACGCTTACCACATTATCATTATCATTGGTCAGAATATGAAACACAATTGAACATCAATTATTTAGAAATCACCCAAGCCCCCCGACGCTGTGAGAATGTTAAAACAAAAGGAAACCCCTTTGAAAAAAAAAATGTATCCACCTCCTTGTAGTTAAAGAAAATCAGGTTTACAGTTTACAGTCAAAGTGTTTTGTCTCTAACCACCTTTAACTTTAAAGGAAGCCAAAATAATCCCGTAATTCGGTTATATATATGGAACAAGGAAAACAACATCAATGTAGTTGATATAAAGGTTTATTATTAAACCACAATACACTGGGACGAGGCATATAACCAGACAAACCTCTATTCTGTACATGTATATAGGATTTATGTACAATATTAACAAAGTTTTTTTGAGAGGTTTTTATCAGTAAGTTACCTATTTGCCTTTATTCTGCATTTTTGTGCCGGTGATATCAGCTTTTAGGGGAATTTAAAGCAATATCGCTGTTATATCATCTGATAGGAAGTTTACATAATTCGTAAGTCTCCATTTTTTTTCGAGGTTATGGGTTCTTTGACAAGCAACAGCAATATAATCTGATATCACAAAATGACACAAAAATCATCCACAAAAAAGGAGGGAAGCAACAAACTTATTATAGAAAGGGAGAGGATTTCACACACGAGGACCTGCTTCACCGGACACCTTCAGTAATACAAAACTATAAATCGTGAAAACATGGTGACTATGAACCTACCCGCGGGCGAAGAAGGTAAAACTGGCCGAAAATATGTTTATATAAATATCCAGTCGTTAAGTATACTCGCATAAATAGGATTCTTCAAGAGCAGATGCTACGGCTTGACTGATGAGCGATCGAAACCAGTTTACCTTAGTAGACGTAAGATCAAAATGACATAAAAAGGGCAAGATGATAGGAGGAAGTGATTACTTCAAAATTTCGAGGTTACGACTAAGAATAATGCGTCAGACGAGGCTGAAGCCATCACATTTTCAGCAAAGGGTAACCGAAATATTGTAGCAAAGTGAGATTTGTCTTACAACCAGCCCGTTCGCACCTGGCCAGTGACTTGAGACTTGCCTTCGGGGATGGGATCGTCCCCGCCCCTGGAGGGGGTTGGGGAGCGAGAGGGGGCGGGCTTGCTGACGGGGGCGGGCTTGCTGGCAGGGGCGGGCTTGCTGGCAGGGGCGGGCTTGCTCGCTGGGGGTTGAGGTGGCTTGCTGGCAGGGGGCGGTGACGAAGGCCTGACGGGGGGCTCCGATATCCTGACAGTGGGCGTCGTGGGCGCGGCGGCGGCGGGCGGGGGAGGCACGCTGCTCTTGGGCTTGCTTGGCGGAGGCTGGATGCGCGGCGGAGGCGCTGACGTCTCCTGCTGCTGGAAGGCCGCCGGGACGGAGATCTTGCCTGGCGCGGGGCCGGACCTCGGCGGCGCGGTCGGCGGGGCGGAGGGAGGGGGGATCTTGACATTGCTCGGAGGGGGGGACTTGGGGCGGCTTGACGGAGGGGGGGACGCCGGGCCGCTGGGAGGGGGGGATTTGGCCCCCGGGGGAGCGGGGCTGGGGGTCCTGCTGGCCTGCGGCGTCGGGGACTTGTACTGCGGCTTGACGGCCAGCTCCTGCTTCTTCTCGTGCTCCAGCTTCTGGTTGGCCTCGCCCGCCTTGGCCTGCGTCACGGCCTTCTGCTCCGCCGCCTTCTGCTTCTCCTTCTCCTTCTTCAGCGTGTTCACCTTGAACTTGGCGTACGCGATACGAGTCGTGGGCGTGTGCGACCGCAGGTTCGGGTTGTACTCGGCGATGTCGTCGGGATTGAGGGACTTGAGCAGCTTGTCGTTCTCGTACTGGATGCGCCTCCTGATGGACGTCTGCGAGCGGCGGAGGCTGGTCTCCGAGGAGCCGATCTGGTCGCGGCGCAGCGACGCTCGCGACACGCGCGAGTTCCAGTCCTCCTTCTTCTTCTTGCCGATGGCGCGCGCCAGCTTGCTGAAGATGTTCTTGGGCTTCTTGTCGGCTGTCAGGATCTCCGTCATGATGCCCTCCACCATGCCGATGTTGAAGCCCTTCATGAGGCGGCGCTCCATGGCGCGGCCCTTCTTGCCCACCACGGCTGCGGGAGAGGGAGGCGCGTGAGGGAGGAAGGGTCGCTCGAGTTTGCAATTGGCAATGCTCGCAACTTACAAGCGTCTGGTCGTATACTCTTTAATGTCATATAATCCAACAGCTTTCGTGGGTCGGAGCTACACGTGCTATATATGTTCATAAGATCATGACAGAGACGAGAACTTACCTGATTCTTCGGCGTTGACCATGGAAGTGTTCATTCCATTGTTCTTCAGAATGTCGATCAATTCGTACCTGTGGTGGTTGGATAATGGTTTTTAATTAACTTTTTGGTATTTTGGTATTTTCTGGCGTTGAACACCGTATTTTTCTTACGAATTGTAAAGTAATATGCCCATTGACATTCAAATGGATCCTTTATATTTTCTTTTTTTTCTTTTTTTTTTTTTTGGGGGGGGGGATCGTATGTCTCTTTCATATTTATTCCAGCTATTTATTCATTAATTGATCTATACGGTTAAAAGTGACTTGAGGTAAGAAGAAAAAAGTAGGATATGGAAATACAAACAAACAAAACACTAAAACCACAGAAGAAAAAAAAATGTAAAGATGAATCAAATAAAAAAAATCCACAGACACCGTACCTGAAAGTCGAAATATCCTGCTTGACTTCATTGATGTCATCCTCCGTCACGCCCTTCTCGTCGGCCTTACGCTGCATCTCAGTGATGTAACGACGCACCAACAGACGCATGACGTTCATGTGACGCTGCTCGGCTCTCTTCCTCGACTGGGGACGGAGGGGGGGGGTCAAGGCATGAGCGTTGGGTGGCTGCTTTTTATATCTGTCTGTTGAGTTTGTCTGTCTTTTTTGGCTGTCTAGATAGCAATATCTATCATACGCACAAGTACACACGTGCACTCATGCATGAGTACACACACACACACACACAAATATATTTATTATAAAGCAGCGAAACCGAGTGATGGTTTTCGTGATACACGAGAAGCCTTTCATGAGGCCACTAAATTCTGTAACACTTAACCTGAAGCTACGTATATATGGATTCTTTCTCTCTCTCTCTCTCTCTCTCTCTCTCTCTCTCTCTCTCTCTCTCTCTCTCTCGCTCGCTCTCTCTCCCTCTCTCCCTCCCTCAACCCACCCTCCCTCTCCCTCTCCTTCCCCTTCCCATCTCCCTCTCTCACCCTCCCTCTCCCTCTCCTTCCCCCCTTCCCCTATCCATCATCCATTTCCTCCCTCACCTTCTCCTTCATCGAGCCCCTCATCTTCTTCTCGCCCAGCCCGAAGAGCCTCATGATGCCCTTAGGCGTCGGGATGACGTTGAAGGGCGGGGGCACAGTGCCACCGTCCTCGAAGTAGCTGAGCCATAGGGTCGTCCTGGCGAATTTCCACTCGGTGTCGGAACGCTCCTGAGGGTGGGAGAGAAGGGGGGGCGGTTGGGTTATTCAGTTCGTGGGGTTGTGAGGGGTGGGGGGGGGGGTGGTAGTTGTGGGGGGTTGGTGGGAATGGGTGTGGGATTAGAGGGGGTTGGGAGGGGTGTTAAGGGTTGTGGGGGGGGGGTGAGTATGTATTTGTATGTGTGTGTGTGTGTAAGTTATGATCGTAAACAATAGAAGAAAATAAGTGGTTTGTGCCTGTGGCGTCGTAGAAAAAAAAATTGTGGTTATAGTTGTGGTGGAGGTCAGTGCGTGTGTGTTCGTTTGTGGTTAGAAATATGGTAGAGTGATACTGCTGGGGTATGTGATCCGGGTTAGTATATTGGTCGCATGATTGTGGTAGAACTAGAATGTAGTGGTTTCTGATCATAAGGTTTTATAAATATGCACAAAATATCGAGAAGTAATTTTGAATCGATATATGCATTTCACTTCATTAGATTTAGTGTTATTCCTTAATATTCCACAAATGGCTGTTTATATTAGAGTACTACCACCTGTTGTAGACAGATTGGATATATCATTATACTAAATTATTGAAATAATCTTAGGACTGTAATTTAACTTGAATTTACTCCAGTTACAGTGACTATAAATAGTTCATGGCAATATGAAAGGGAATAAAATAATACAATTAGATAAAAGTTCGTTGGTTTAAATTCATCGGGTTTTCAAATCTACAGATAGTTTTGCAGGGGATCAGAAAATATGTGAGCATGCAGCAGTGTTCATAGAAAATGGAAGTTTTGTAAATGATGATAAAACAAAAAGAAAAAAAGAAAAGAAAATATATATATATTTTTAAAAATTTCTTAGCGTAGGTTCAATTGAGGAAATCGCCATGTCACATATTTTCCTCGAAGGCAGGTTTCATATCTTTATATCCCCTGCTGTTTTTTTCAGAACTACAGAAATAATACAAGGTGCTGGTCCTATCTACATCTACAGACCTTAACTTCTATGTGTACTGATGCATCAAACATTTGCAGCAATAGGTCTCTGTCTTTCAGAGGTTGCAGGCCACCGTGACACGCTCTAAAACAGCGTTAGATACTGCAAAAGCCGCCTGCAAATGCCAGCGAGAATATTGCATGTCTACAAGCCGTCGCCATCAGTTCTTACAGATGTCTTGTTGGACAGCCTACTCGAATTCAGATACTGCCAGAGAATGAGGAAGAAAGTAGAAGAAGGTGAAGAGGAAAAGAGGATAGAGAAAGAGAAGAAGAAAAAGGAGAAGGAGAAGAAAGAGAAGAAGAAAAAGGAGCGGGAGAAGAATGAGAAGAAGAAAAAAGAGCAGGAGAAGAATGAGAATAAAAGGAAGAAGGAAAAGATTGTGAAAGAGAAGTAGTAGAAGTAAAAGAGAAGATGAAAAAAGTAAAAGAAGAGAAGAAACAAGAGAAAGATAAGAGATAATGAAGTAGATGAAGAAAAAAAAAGACAAAAGAAAAAACAGTGCACTAAAATTCCAACAGAGAAATGGCACACCACAAATCGACCCAGAAAAGAAAGAAAAAAAATTGAGCTCCACCAACAGCTCTACGAAAAAGTAAGCTGAAAGTACATTCGCTCGAGGCAGCCATCCTAGTGACATAATAAGCAGCCAAAAGAGAGGATTCAGCCGTAACATAGGCTTGTTTTGAATCCTCAGCGTATTATCAGCAGAAGTAGAAGAAGAAGAAAATGAAGATATATATTAAAGAGAAGAGAGCAACAAAGCGCGAGACTTGGACACTTGAATGACCCACCGAGATGACATTATACGAATTGGACATCATAGCAATGAGGAGATTCAGTAGAACGATAATGTTGATCACCGAGTACGATCCAAACATCAACATTGCCCAGAATCTTGTGAAACTCCCGACACCCGTGAGTTCGAAGGCGTCTAACTCCACAAGGCCAAAGGAAGCCCAGAAGAGGGACTGGGAGGTCTCGAATAAACTGTAAGGGAGAGACGGTTGTACAGGGTCAGTAGGGGTTTGAAGGACGAGTACGGAGCGAGGGAGGGACTCAAGACCGAGTTAGGTGGTTGTTTAGGGGGTCCTGGGTAGAGGGACGCAGGGGGTTGGTACAAAGGTTTTCCATCGTTCCTTTCGCTTTTTACTTCCTCTCGTTCGGAACCGGCGTAGGGGGTTCACCTGCAAGCGAGAGGGGACGACTCACCTGGATCATATTGTACGAGGTGGACATCATGGCAATCAAGAGATTAAGCAGAACGATCACGTTGATCACCGAGTACGACCCGAACATCAGCATCGCCCAGAACCTCGTGAAGCTGCCGAGACCCGCCAGTTCGAAGACGTCCAATTCAACGAGGCCAAAGGAAGCCCAGAATAGAGACTGGGAGGTTTCGAAGAGGCTGAGACACGGAGGAAGAGCGTGAGAGAGTGGAGTGACGGAAGAGAACTTTTGCAACGGAGAGTATTTTAGCGGGAATAAGGTTGTTTTTAATGGTCTGAAAACCAAGTAGAGTCCTTGGTGAGAAAGCAAAGAAAAGAAGAGTTTTTTTTCCCGTTCATCTTATTGCTGCTGCTGCTTCTCTGGAAATGGAGAAAAAATTAGTATATGAATTATTTTTTGTCTCTCAGATTATCAGTACGGTCTATGGGACTAAAAACTTGAGGAAGTCCCCAAAATATACAACTAGCGCTAAAGATTCTTATGTACTAATGATACTCTCTCTATTACTGCACTAACAAACTGCACTTTTCTTAAGGGAGATGCATTTAATACCCCACAGTCGTAAATCCCGCTTGTTTCCAGATCTTGAGGGCTTCTTAAACTAGAGAAAGCACAGTACTACTACCTACTTCCCTGTTATTAATGGACACGCCTCCAAACTCGTGAAATTCTCGGCCGCAACACGTCTTCATGATATATGAAACTGATTCCATTATTATAACATCAAAAACAAGCAAAAACAAACAAAAACACTGCAAACGGACGAACAGAAAAGCTAATCAACAAGCAAGAAAGACTTGGACTCACTTGGCAAAACGTCTCCAAATGAAGCAAGCTTGTTCTTGATTGTCGTAATCGGGCAGTCCCCCGGGCAAGCTGTAACACTTGTTCATTTCCAACTCAGCGTAGTACCACATCAGCTGATTCAGACCTGCGTGGAGGGAGAAGAACGGTGGTGAGATAGTGAGAATGAGGTGTATGTATAGTAATTATTCGTGAATGTGTGTTTCAGTATGTAGTAAACGAGAACGATTAAAGAGAGCGATTAGGGAGAAACGTAATGATGATCAGATAAGGTAGTGATAAAAGAACATGATATTTTTTCCCAAAGAGAACGAGAGAGGATAATCAAGACAGCCCTGTACCCACATAAAACTTTAGACAAAATGGAAGTCAGATTTCTTGCAAATTGGATTTAGTGTCGAACGAAACTTTTCCAAAGAAGGCCCCACATTTAGTATTTAACATTTAACTCCCCACCCCCCAGAAAAAGAGAGAAGAAAAAGAGAAAAAAAGTGAGAAGAAACGCCCTTTTCCAGAAGAGACAGACACTGACCACAACCGAAGGCGAAGAGCACGAGAGTGTACAAGAAGAAGAACTTGAGAATATCGAAGATCATGCGACCGAGAGAAATCTGCAGGGGACCCAAGTGCGGATTCACGCTGAAGATGTGCACCAACTTCAAGAAACTGGGGAGAGAGAAGGAGGTTTAAGGTTTATTTATTTATTGACTTTTATAGTGTTTGTTTGTTTTACAAGTATGTCAGATTCAAGGAATGAGAGAGATTTTATTTTTACAACAAACGATGAAGATTTTCACTAACTTCAAGGAAAACATACACACACACACACATACACACAGACACACACACAATCACAAATTCTAGAAACAAACGATAGAGAATAAAAATCAAGAAATCGAACAAAAATAACACCAACAACACTCCCAGGACCTTCACCCACCTGAAGATCATAGCGGCACCGAAGCATCCCTCAGAGAGCAGCATAGGATCGAAACTGTGCCACTGTTCCCTCGGGTACCACGGCCACAGTCCGTGCCACAGGTCGAGCTGGACCAGGAGGAACGAGGTGGCACGCAGCATAATCCAGGTCATGAAGAACGAGTTGGTCACGAAGTCAATAATGTTCCACAGGTCTTTGATGTACTCTAGTAAGCCGTCGCTCCAGAGGGATTTTATCTCGGCCCAGATCAAGCCTGGAAGGTGCGACGCGTTGGTATTAGTATGATTTTTTTGTTATTTGTAGTTATATTTTTATTATTATTATATTATGTATGAATTGTTGTTAAATATAAAGAAAATAGATTAGAAAGAGAAAGGCAGAACAAGAAAATAAAAATAAAAAAGAAAAGAAGAGATAGAGAGAGGTAGATACAGAGATAGGTATATAGAGAGGTAGAGACAGATATATAAATATAAATATATATATATATATATATATATATATATATATATATATATATATATATATATATATAGAGAGAGAGAGAGAGAGAGAGAGAGAGAGAAAGAGAGAGAGAGAAAGAGAGATGAAGAGAAAACAGACCCGAAACAAGACTCCTACTCACTTCCGACGTACATCACGATGCACACTTCGACTATCCCGGGTAAGGAGCCTCTTTCTCGAATCTTCCAATCCTCGAGAAGCGATCGAAGCCAAGCGTTTCCAAACCATTCGATTAACAGGTACTCGATCCGTTGCGAAGCCAAAGCCAGGAGCACTTTGGGAGAGGAGAGGACAAACGGATAAGTTGGTTTAGGTTTCAAGTTATTAATTAATTAGATGAATGTACGATAATGCAGACAGGCGTTTCCACGAAGCCAAAGTCAGGAGCTCGTTCGAAAGGTGAGGGGAAACGGACGAGTTGTTTTGAGCTTCAGGTGATCAATTCAGGTAAATGATTATTAAGTATTTGTTAACATATTTTAACATATATTGTTATCGTCATGAATAGCCATCAGTATCAATATTATTATACATTACTTTTATCACAATCATTATCATTATCATCATCATCATCAATACCATTATCAACATCACCACCAACATCGCTACCATCTTCATATCTTTTATCATATTACATTACATCTATCACCATCACCATCCCAACACCCACTCCCTCAAACCCCACCCCAACACCCACTCGCATAAACCCCACCCCAACACCCACTCGCATAAACCCCACCCCAACACCCACTCGCATAAACCCCACCCCAACACCCACTCGCATAAACCCCACCCCAACACCCACTCGCATAAACCCCACCCCAACACCCACTCGCATAAACCCCACCCCAACACCCACTCGCATAAACCCCACCCCAACACCCACTCGCATAAACCCCACCCCAACACCCACTCGCATAAACCCCACCCCAACACCCACTCCCTCAAACCCCACCCCAACACCCACTCGCATAAACCCCACCCCAACACCCACTCGCATAAACCCCACCCCAACACCCACTCCCTCAAACCCCACCCCAACACCCACTCGCATAAACCCCACCCCAACACCCACTCGCATAAACCCCACCCCAACACCCACTCGCATAAACCCCACCCCAACACCCACTCGCATAAACCCCACCCCAACACCCACTCCCTCAAGCCACACCCCAACCCCCACTCCCTCAAGCCTCACCCCAACACCCACTCGCATAAACCCCACCCCAACACCCACTCGCATAAACCCCACCCCAACACCCACTCGCATAAACCCCACCCCAACACCCACTCGCATAAACCCCACCCCAACACCCACTCCCTCAAACCCCACCCCAACACCCACTCGCATAAACCCCACCCCAACACCCACTCGCATAAACCCCACCCCAACACCCACTCGCATAAACCCCACCCCAACACCCACTCGCATAAACCCCACCCCAACACCCACTCGCATAAACCCCACCCCAACACCCACTCCCTCAAACCCCACCCCAACACCCACTCGCATAAACCCCACCCCAACACCCACTCGCATAAACCCCACCCCAACACCCACTCCCTCAAACCCCACCCCAACACCCACTCGCATAAACCCCACCCCAACACCCACTCGCATAAACCCCACCCCAACACCCACTCCCTCAAACCCCACCCCAACACCCACTCCCTCAAACCCCACCCCAACACCCACTCGCATAAACCCCACCCCAACACCCACTCGCATAAACCCCACCCCAACACCCACTCCCTCAAACCCCACCCCAACACCCACTCCCTCAAACCCCACCCCAACACCCACTCGCATAAACCCCACCCCAACACCCACTCGCATAAACCCCACCCCAACACCCACTCGCATAAACCCCACCCCAACACCCACTCGCATAAACCCCACCCCAACACCCACTCGCATAAACCCCACCCCAACACCCACTCCCTCAAGCCTCACCCCAACACCCACTCGCATAAACCCCACCCCAACACCCACTCGCATAAACCCCACCCCAACACCCACTCGCATAAACCCCACCCCAACACCCACTCGCATAAACCCCACCCCAACACCCACTCCCTCAAGCCTCACCCCAACACCCACTCGCATAAACCCCACCCCAACACCCACTCCCTCAAAAAAAAAAAAAAAGGGGGGAGGGGAGAAAAAAAGGGAAGGAAGGGGAGTTAGATTTGGTTTGGTTTGGGTGGAAGTATGTGTTTTGGTTTGTTTTTTGGTCTTGTGTTTTTTTTTTCTTTCCTTTCTTCTTTTTTTTTTTACTCTTTCTACATCTCTCCTTTTTTTCGCTCTAGGTATTTCATTCTATCTCTCTCTATTTATATTATTCTCTCTCTCTCTCTCTCTCTCTCTCTCTCTCTCTCTCTCTCTCTCTCTCTCTCTCTCTCTCTCTCTCTCTTCCTCCCTCCTCCCCTCCCCATATCTCCATTCCTTCTCCCCCTCTTTCTCTTCCTCACCCTCATTCTCCCAATCGACAACGAAACCAACCAACCTACCAACAAACAAACAAACAAACAAACACCACCAAAACTCACCCCCTTCTGCGAGTACTTGATAGCCATCTTGAGTCGAGAGAGAGAGTTGACCTCGCCTTCTTCCCACACGGGGCCGTCGGGGTCATAGTTCAACATGACCGATAACTCGCTCCTGGTTCGCGTTTGGTCCAGCAGCTCGGCAGCGAATTTCATGACGGTTTGGCGAAGTTCCTGTGGTGGGGGAAAAAAGGGGGGGGGGTGAGTTAAAATGAGGGGGGGGTTGAGTCGGTAGGGGTAAGGGGGATGGGGGGGGGGTGATTCTGTTGATTTGGTAATGATTTTTTTGTAGTTATTGTTGTTTTTGTTATTGCTATCTTTGGTATTATTATTGTTGGTCTTATTGTTATTGTTATAATTTCTATTAACTAGTGATATTATTGTTATTGTTATTACTCTTATTATTTTTATTATTATTGTCAGTACTCTTATAGTTATTATAATTTAGTACTATCGTCATTTATTACAAATATCATTATTCATTACTTTTATCACAATCATTATCATTATCATCATCATCATCAATACCATTATCAACATCACCACCAACATCGCTACCATCTTCATATCTTTTATCATATTACATTACATCTATCACCATCACCATCCCAACACCCACTCCCTCAAGCCACACCCCAACCCCCACTCCCTCAAGCCTCACCCCAACACCCACTCGCATAAACCCCACCCCAACACCCACTCCCTCAAACCCCACCCCAACACCCACTCCCTCCAGCCACTCACAATGTACTCCGTCTTGAACTCGTGCTCCATCCCCTGCAGGCGCCTCAGTTCCCCGGAGAGTTCGAAGGTGGTGCGGATGGGGTCCTTGGAGGAGAGGGCGATGAGGGAGGGAGAGGCCAGGGCTTTGTAGGCGTTGATACGGGAAAGGGAGTGACGTAGGGAGTCGTCCTCCGTGGAGATGATGCACTCGTCGCAGCCGCACCTGAGGGGGAGAGAAGGGGGGGGGGAGGGGTTAGTATGGTTTGTACGAGGGGCAGTAGCGGGGGATATATTTATATATATTTTTTTTCATGCAGATGGGTAATTATATCTGTGTCTCTGTCTGTCTATCTAAAAAAAGAAAAGAAAAGAAAGAAAATAGAAAAAAAAAGAAAGAAAAAGAAAGAAAGAAAAAAAAAGAAAGAAAAAAAGAAAGAAAAAAGAAAAAAAGAAAAAAAGAAAGAAAAGTAAAGAAAAGAAAGTAAAAGAAAAAGAAAGAAAGGAAAAAAACAACGAACAACCGACCTGATATCGTGGGGCATAGGCAAGGAAGCCCCGCGATCGAGCAGGAGCTTCAGGATTTCATAGTGGTTGTGGTGGGCGGCGAGGATCAGGGGCGTGATGTCCTTGGTGAAAGTGGCTGTCTCGCGGGTCATGGCCTCCCAGCTCTAGGGGGGAGAGAAAGGAGAGATGGATAAATGGGAGGAGGAGAGATAGGGGAAAGGAGGGGGAGGGGGAGAGTGAGAGAGAGAGAGAGAGAGAAGAGAGAGAGAGAGAGAGAAAGAGAAAGAGAGAGAGAGAGAGAAAGAGAAAGAGAGAGAGAGAGAGAAAGAGAAAGAAAGAGAGGGAGAAGGAAAGAGAGAGAGAGAAAGAGAGGCAAATAGGGAAAAAAGAGGGGAGAAAGAATGAAAAATAACAGGGGTTGATTTTGTAGAGTATGGATCGAAAAAAAGAGAAAGAAAGAAAGAGAATGATAATGGCCTAGAATACTGACCCTAGAATTTCTTAAGAACAAATTAAATAAAACCATTAACTTGCTAATTACTGATGACTTAGTTACAACTAATGCGATTACTTTATCCTCATTGGTCAACATATTATTTTCGACATCCCATTTCAAAACCCAAACAAAGATTTACATTTTCTTTTATTCCATTTTTTATTCATGTATTCTATCCATTTCCTTTTTATACCATTAATTAAACAAAATATCAATATTTTTGACAGCCCATTACAAACCCAAACAAAGATTTACATTTTCTTTTATTCCATTTTTATTTATTTCCTTCTATTCCTTGACACCATTAATTCAAAATATAAGAAATTTATCTCTCCAACTTACGTAAGGTTCGCCCTTCTTGTGGGTTTTCTCCTCCCACTCGAGGAGGAGCTCCACGCCCTCCACGTACTGCTCGGAAATGGCATGGAGGAGGGAATCCTGCGGGAGGAAGACGAGGAGAAGGTTAGAGAATTTGCGTGTCGGTTGAGCTAAATTGTGTGTGTATATATAGGGGTTTTGTGTGCGTATGGAGGGGTATGTTGAGATACGTCTGTAGGGGTGTAGGTATAGACATATGTGTAGATAAATACGCGTAGAGGATGACAAGTAAGAAAGTATGTAGTAAGACACATGATTGCACGCACAAGCACGCACACACAAACACAAAGACACAAAGACACAGACACACACACACACACACAAACACAAATACAAACAAAGACACAAAGACACACACACACACACATACACACATACACGCACACAAACACAAACTCAAACACACACAAACAAACAAACACACAAACTCATCAAGAACCACCAAGTAAGAAAAAAAAAAAAAAAAAAAAAAAAACATGCCCTCACACCCCATCCTCTCTCTCACACGACCTCAAGTGACCTCAAATGACCTCACCTTCGGCTTGACCTTAAACTTCAAGAGGAGTTCGAGCAGATCCAAATTCTCATTCTCAATTGCAATTGCAATGGAACTTCTCCCGAGAGGATCTGTGCAATTGATATCGAGTTCCTGAGGCCTGTCCTTGTAATCTTCGAGGTGTCTGGAGAGGAGAGAGTCCCGTATGGTAAACAAACAAACAAACAAAAACAAGAAAAAACTAAAACAGAGTAAACAAACAAACATAAACAAAAATATGAAAAACTAAAAGAGTAAACAAACAAACAAACATCATAAACAAAAGCATGAAATAAAACTAAAGCAGAGTAAACAAACAAACAACATAAGCAAAAACATGAAAAACTACAACAGAGTAAACAAACAAATAATATAAACAAAAACATGAAAAAAAAACGTTGCCTCAAGTACCCCCTTTTTCTACTATTTGTTTGTTTCTAATGTTTGTAAAGTCATGACCAGAGTTTCGAAACCCGCAACTCGCGTAAGCAAATAAGTAAGTAGGTAAGTAAAGTAAAGTAAGTAAGTAAGGGTTTGATCAGCCGAAGACGCTAAAAAAAGTAAATTATTTATATTCCATTTATTACAGTCGATCTAAGCTTTACGAAAATTACTTTTTTTTTAATTGCCTTCGGCTTATCCAAGATAATTAACATTTACCTAGTTAATCGAAAAAGAGATAATGAACGCAGGTAAGCAAGTACTTTACTTTACTTCTAAGCCATCATTTACAATTGATCTAAGCCTTACGAGTTTGTTTTTTTAATTATTATTATTATCATCATTTTATTATTATTATTATCCTTTTTTGTGGATTTACGTACCTTCTGACGGATGCCACATCTCCCCGCTGGACGTACAACAGATACTTTCTTTCGCCTTCCGTCAAAACGATGTCTGACGGCGCCTCTACCATTTCCAGCCCGGGTTCAGAGGTCTTGAGAAATAAAAAAAAGGAATTTAGTGTTTTTTTTTGTGGGGGGGGGAGAGGGGGAAGGGGGATGTTTATTAAAAATGAGAGGATATTCGGTTTGTTTGCCTTATTATTATTATCATTTTTTTTTTTGGGGGGGAGGGGTTGTTTTTCAATGTATATATAAAAAGTGGGGATTGATTTTATTTATATGAAAGGGTGGGGTGGGGGTGGGGGTGGGGGGTGTGAAGATTAACCAACCAAATATACGCATCGACACCAACAAAGTGCCAATCTCCCCCCTCCCCCCACTCACGTCCCAAGCAAGAGTACTTACCGTCGACGTGAGGTCGTTAGTGCTCCCTCCATTTTTCACCCCCATCTTGGCGTTGGAGGCGCTGGCGGGCGCTCGCGCAGACGCCCACGGAAGAGGTCACGCCCAAAGGCTCCCTGACGCCCACTCCTGTAGGGGGGGTTGAGAGAAGATAGGTGTTATTTTTATTGGGTTTATTATTTGGTTGTGTTTGATTTTTTGTTTTTGTTTGCTTGTCTGTTTGTGTTTGTTTTGTTTTTTGTTTATATGTTTATCTGTTTGTGTTTTTTGTTGTGTTTGTTCGTCCCTTATTTATTTATTTATTTATTTATTCATTCATTCACTAGCTTTTTGTTTGATATTTATTTGTTTATTTTTATGCTGCCAGTTTCAATAAGGAAAAAAAAGTTCAATTGTTCATTCTTCTTCCTTATAAATTTTCTCATTTGCATTGTTCATTTCCCATTAGTCCATTAACCAAGATAAAGAACAAAGAAGGAATAAACAGATAGACGAACTGAGAACTGAAAATAAGATAGAAGGAACGAATAGATAAATGAATTGAAGATAAGATAATGTCTAAAGCGATGGATAAATGCGGATATTGATAAGAATTGATTTATCCGTATGTGTGTATCCGTATCTAAAGAAAATTATTAAGTAAATCTAGGACACCATACAAGGGCTTTATTTATTTCTATGTTTATCTATTTATATATCTATTTATCTATCTATTTTAATCATTATTGTTATTATTTTTATTATTATTATTATTATTATTATTATTATTATTATTATTATTATTATTATTATTAATTAATTAATTAATTAATTATTTTTTTTTACAAATTCGTTCCAAATACAGCTTTTATCGCAAAGAATGTACAAATAAATCTCAAAGTAAATCACTAAGTTGATAGTAAATTAAAAAAACAGAGACTAACAATTCAGTAAGTTGATAAATATATAAATAAACAAAATAAAGTATAGTAATGTAGATAAGTAAATAAATTTTAAGATAAAAAAGATAAGAAGTATTATGATGAGAATAATAATAAGTTAAGGAATAATAATAATAAGAAGAAAATAAAAATAAGAAGAATGATAATAACAATAAAAAAATAAAAATAAGAAGAATGATAATAACAATAAGAAAATAAGAATAAGAATAAGAAAATAATGATAATAACAACAAGAATAAGAATAAGAAAATAATAACAATAATAATAATAATAGTAATAATGATAATGATAATGATAACAATAATAATAATAATAATAATAAAATAATAGTAATAATAATAATAATTAAAGAAAAAAAAATTAAAGAAGAATTTAAAAATTTAAAAAGCTCGGCATCCGAAGTACCGTTCCCTCACGTGGCATAGACCACCGCTTATCCGGCACTGACGCAAATGCCCGGACTTAAAACCTCCGTCATCCGGCCCGTTTTCGCTGATTCGGCAGTTTTGGGCTTCCGGCAAGAAACAGTACAAATAATCTTCTCGTGCAATTTTTAAAAAAATTATGTTATCTGTATATTTTTTTTTTACTATTTTTCTTCCCGTGCATTGTTTTATTTGTTGTTTTTTTTTTTTTTTTTTTTTTTTAGTTTTTCTTGATTTTTTGAAAAGTGGGTCATTTTGGAAAAAATAATATATTTTGATTACTTTTATCGTTGATT